GTGTGTGTGTGTGTGTGTGTGTGTGTACACGTGCAGTAAAAAGTTCCCCAGCAGAGACTGCATCTCATCCCCTGGAGCCTATCTCACACTGTAACAATTCTGCTCAGTGCCGCTGAAAATTCACACACACACACACACACGAGCATGAACATCAGCCTCTGCTGCAGTCGTTTTTTTTTTACATAAAAAAGCACACTGCTACATATGCAAATGCCTCCTACTCTTCTTTGTACTGCCTCCTTACATATGAAGACACATGAAAAATGCAGATGTAATGTGCACTAATAGCAGCTCTAAAGAGCCTCATTCATTGACAAACCTGACACAGACTCTCTCTTGCCTGCTCCCACTGTCCCTCTCTCTCTCCATCACACACATTTTCCATGCTTCCTAATGTAACACGGTGGTAATGGTGTGTAATCACTTCTTTGCCACAGTAGTCTGTTGTGGTAGGTGAGACCACAGCTGAGCAAAACGGAACAGAGCAGCCAGCAGCTGATAAACCGCAGAGATTTTCTGCTATTTCTGTTCTCTTTATATAGCCTGCATATATCAAAAAAGAGAGCAAGATACTGCACTAACAGATGGTCAGCATTGACAGATTGAGTATCATTGATTCTTTGGACTATTTACTGAAGAAAGTTGGAGAATTTCGTAGCGGTGAGATGTGGAATGTATTGTTTTCAGCAGGAGTTTTATTTGGTACTGTGGCCATGTGGCCCCCAGGCCTTTCAAACCACTGCAGCTAATGTTAGCTTTAATTTTGAGGAAATAATAAAAGCCATAAACTGAGATAGGAGGGAAAAGAGAGTGCACGCTGCGTTGGGCATTGGCCGTAGATTGTAATGGTACGTGACAGCTTTACCACAGGGGTCAGTTGTGGTTTTAGCAAAATCTCGGCCAAAAAGAACAATAATATGGCTACTGAATGGCCAGAGACTCGAGTTTACAATATATAAATAGATTTACTTCTTCTTTCCTTCCCACAGTTTCCCTACCCAAAAATGTTCATGATTCAAGTGCTTAACCAAAGAATGTTTCACTATGTAGCTCTGTTGCTAGTCGACGGCTGTAGGGCGGGACAAGCTGGTGATGCAATAGGAAGACCAGACAGTCTCATTTTGGTTCAATCAACATGGTCTGCGTGGTCAAAGGAGGATGCAGCAGACATCCTGTAGACTAGGTCCCCTAAATTGAGACACAGCTTAAAATGACCGAAACCATCTTTTAGGAAAATATATTTTACGTGTATTTTGATTTTCTAATTTGGTCCATTTCCCATCCACTAACATGGAGGAGGCATGATACATAATCTATAATGCAGCCAGCCACCAGGGGGCTTCACTGTTCGCGATTTGATTTTAGTCTACAATTACAATGCAGTCCTGTAGTATGGAACTGATTGAAGGTTTGATTGAATTGGCATGTAAGTCAAACTTCAAAATGTTGAACACAACAAACAATTGTCAGTTAATTTAAAAGGGAGTAAAAAGCTCATTAGAAAGATGTAAAACAAAGAGTTTCCCCATCAAAGAAATTTTACCACAGGTGGTTGAGTGTTCATTTTAAAAATGTTCTCTGGTCTGTAATAAGCTCTATTCTCAGCATCATCCAACAAGGCACAAGCCTTCAATTAAAAACAATGCAACAACAGCCCCTTGGCTATTAGTGTTTGTGCATGTGATAGGCTTAATGCAGGGGAGCTATTTCGAGTGTGTTTAAGCCACCCTGCCATTTTCCCATTTCTTCAAGTTGTGTGTGTTAATGTGTCTCAAAGAGAAGGTTATAAAAATGCTTTATGGCGTCTCCTGGAACAGTGACCTTTGCAGAAAACCACTGATCTGTTCAGAACAACATGATATACCATGTGCACATGTGTACAGAATCGTGTGTGCACGAGCGTCGGTATACACACATGAATTTCTACCACGACCTCTGTGCACATGGTTACGTGTGCATGTGACATGATGTACAGCCAGCAACATTCTATCCCACCAGCCATCATTAACTCTGATGTACAGCCAAATGTCGTTATGTATGGTCGACTGCATGATTTACTGTTGCAGATATAATGGAGTGGCTGGTGTAATGAACTTGCTGAGGGTTTGATGTACGGGCCTCTGCTGGAGGGAGAGGAGTAAATACTAAGACCGGGATGGCAACGATTACAGAGATGATGATGATGTTGAAATTTGCCTCCTCACTCGCAGATGCGAGGGGAGTTTTCCGGACGGGGTGGGGAGGACAAAAAAGAAGAGAAGATGAAGAGCACAGTTTGAGGAGATGGAGGAAGAGGAAACAGAGAGGAGGGGGAGGATGGAGAGCAATTACAGCCTGCCACTGTCGCACATTTTGATGCTTTTGACAGGTGGTCACTGCTGAGGGGAGAGTAAGTGCTGATGACAATGATGATGATGATGATGACATACATGAAGGAGATGTGAACACAGACATTGAAGATTGTTATTATTTAAGATCAGTGAAACCACAGGGTGTCCTTGCAGTGAAAGGAGGACATGGCTGCTGGCCAACATCCAGCCGACGTAAAAGGAGAATTGATTTGATTTTGTGAGACCAAAAAGCATTATTATGTCACCAAAATGACGTGGATGTTAAGGAGGAGGAGAAAGAAAGAAGGACGGTCTGTGAGATATGGAACAGGACTGATGGAGACTAAAGGACAAAAGGAAAAGACACCAAATGGCAACAGTGACTTTCTGATCAATAGAAATGGAAACAAATAAATCCACAAATGTTATCACTATTGATGAAATTTCAGAAAATGTTACAGCAATACCTAAATGTTGCATACGGCTACTTTAGATAATATCAATTGTGTTTGAACAAAGATGAATTATCTTTTAGTTTTTCATTGAAAACATGCAAAAATGTAAATATGTAAAAATGCAAAATGACACCATACATCTCACAGATACAGGACTGGAATCCACCACAGTACAGTCTGACTCTGCCCCCTACTGGCTCGCACTCTAACTTCACCTTCTTGAGGACTTATGCGTCCTCATATGACTTATTCCATCCATCCATCCGTTATCTACACCGCGTATCCTTTATCCTTATCCGGAGTGCAAGGAGAAAAACCCACACAGGGAGAACTTTCAACGTCTATAAAATGCTAAACATCCAATTACCTCACAAAGTTTAAATAAAAATACAGTTACTTAAACATGACCAAATTAAGCTCTTTATTGTATCATTTATTTCACAGTTGACATTTTTGCTTGTAAAATAAATAAACAGAATTCCCCTTCATGTATTTTCAGATTTAATTTCCATTGTGCTGAGTATGTAAACTGTAATAAGGCACTGAATATAGTTACGTTCCAGTGACTATGTTGTTTGATCTTAATTTAAATAGTGTCAGTAGTATTTCAATAAATATTTAGTTTAGTCTAAATATGTGCTTAGATTTACTCAACAATATGATACGACTGCTGCTTTAATTTCAAATATTGGCATTGTACAATCAGTCTAAATTTAAAGTTAAACAAAGTGTCTCAGTGTGAGGAGTTTGGAAATCCTAAAAAAGGGCCTGGTAGGACAGTTCAAAAAAAAAAAAGTCACGTCACATTCTTTACATACTCTGAACACTTGGAAAAATGATAGCACCTGAACACACTCTGAAGCATCTCAGCTCCAATTTAAAAAAAAGTGAAAACTCTGCTGCAGATTGGAGAAGGAAGAGCTTTACCAAGGCCAAGAAGGTGGTGACTGTATTCCTCTTAAATACGCGGCTCCTCCTCTTTGCAGCCGCAGAATGGAAACGTCCCGCAGCATGGCTGAAGCCAGGGTCGCCAGAGAATCTTATCCCAGGCCATCTGACTTTGAACAGCCGTCGATTGAGTATCATTTACCTGTTTATTTGGGAGGGTACTTTTATGCCTATCCACAGCTCTGGCAGTCTGCTCGAGGATTTCAGCGTATCGTGGCTCAGTATCAGGAGTCAGTGTGCGGGACTCTGAGGGGTCGTGGAAAATGTCGTACACCAGCGGTGGATCGTGGTGTGTAACATACTCTCCGTGACACAGGCACACCTTAGTTTTATAGCACCCGCCGGCTCCCGGGGGGGAAAAGTTAGGGGTGAAAAAGTGCACCTTGAAGACGGAGTCACCTGCATGAAAACACACGACAGAGACCACATTATTTCAGGACACAGTGTACGAAGACACGATAATGTCAAAGAACTTCCCTATTGTGACTGAGCTGAGAGGAATGGTTCTGACTTGTATGTGGTTCTAAATATGGTAGAGGATGATAATCTAATACGACAAACATTTACTGCAGTAAGAAATAGGAGGGAAGTTGTACTCCTGGCAAAGTAAACATGGTGATATGGAACAGAACAAAGAGTATATTGAATATTTGTATTTATTTGATTATTTTAACCAAACAGAATTACAACATATCTGGTCACCATAATGGAAT